TTCCCATCTCACCCTCACACTTAGCAGTAGAGGAGGCCCACTCACCTGAAAATCAAAGGAGACCCATTATCCAAACAACCACTTAAGCTACCATGGAATGGAAGCCATGCTGACATGACAAAGTACTCCATAGCCAGAGGATGATGCTGTTACCACCACATTTTACAGTGATCTTGGAATCTTTGGCCTCTTTTACCATTACTGAGAGTTGAGAGCATAGAACACTTGGGGTACATACAAATATTCACCACACCCTGCCTATGTTTAGGTGTCTTATTTGAAGCCTCCTAAATGTAGATCAGGAGCAGCACAGACAACCATTCATCTCTGCTGGGAGCTTCCCAGGCAGCCAAATGTAAGTAACTTGGGGTGGGAAGAGGGGATAACAGGATTGAGGGAAGTGGTGGGGCTGGGGGGAGGGGAGGAGGTGGGAAGATTAGGGGGCAAAAAATGGCCTAGTCAGCGGGATGGGAATACCACAGCCCCAGGGCTGGGACAACCAACTGGGCTGCAAATACATGCAGGTGTTTGGGAAGATTGGGTTAACCCTTTCCTAGATCAAGTTAACCCTTTCTTGATCTAAGTTTGTTCACCTTAGGAGATGCTGTAATTTAGGTTGGACGTGCCATTTTTTGGCCAAATTAATCCCTCTGAAAGCTGGCACAATTAAGCATTTACATCAACCTAACCTTGATTATGATCTAAAAGTTAATGCCTGTATGAACCCTTGACTGCCAGGAACAATGAAACATCTCTATCAGAAAAGCCAACAATTCAATGGTTGTGCAGCATTGCCAAAAACTCTAGCTTCAGGGAATATGGCAAGGGAGCAAAAAGGATGTGAATTTCTATTGAGCCTCTGTCCCTTTTTCTCAGAGGGACTCAGACGCATTGGATACCTCTAAAGATCTTAGTGAAGTGGGACATAAACCATTCACTGAATAATTTCAAATAACAACAAACAAATACATCATGTCTACTCATGAACCTGCAAATAGTAATAACATGGGATAAATTAATGGGAATTGATACATTCATTGCAGCACGTTTTCCAGCCTGAATAGAATTATGAAAAGCCAGTAGCAAGAGTAACAGGAGAAAAAGTTCCCCAACAATATACAGCAGAACGGGTGCCACTGAGAAGTCAGTTACAGCTCTAGATCCCAAGATGTTTGTGCCTGGTAAAATTCAGGGCTTCAGTGGTGAGAGTACACAAAGCACACTGCAGTGATGGTTGTTGTTTGGTACAGGAGGTGGCCACAGTACCTGTACCATCTTCACACTGGCAGTTTTCCTTCAAAGACGTGTATATACTGGCCATTCCTGGTGTCTTTAATCCTACTCTGCAGTACAAAAACACCACAAAGTAAATGTGGCAGGCTAGAGAATATGGCCTTCTGAATTTTAACTTTGAATATTTGGGGTTTCTTTCTATGGCATGATCCTTGTGTTTGTTCTGCTCCACTGCAGCGTGGTTGTCTATCACAGCCTTCTAGTCTATTTTCAGGATTCTTCTACTCAGGGCATTAATCTCCAAATTTAAAAATTCAGAATTGAGGGCAATTACAGAATAAATAAATGAAACCTTATGGACTAAATCAAAGATAGCGAGCAAAGTGGTATGGCACTTATACCAATAAATAATATGCATGAAAATAAATAATGCATCTCTGAAAATCTCATTTTGCTAGGCAGCACTTCTATCTCTAAGTGACAGTCAATAGATAAATATTATTGCAACTGGCTTTCTTACATTACAATAGATATGGTTATTAGAGCTTCCATTTAGTTTGTACTCCCAGAGGAACTTCTGAGAAGACACAAATTTTATAGGTGTTTAGTCTGTATTTAGACATGTCAAACAGTGATCTAGTACAGTGTTTCTCTACCTTTTAAGTAGCAAGTACCCCCTAACTTCTTAAAAATTTTATAAGTACTCCAACACTCAATTTTCCAGGGAATTTTATATTTACAGACTAATGTGTGCCATATGTTGGAAGAAGGGCTGTTTATATGAGGCCATGATATGACAGATTTCTGATCTGGTGTGGGTAGGGTTGCCACCTTTTACACCAGGGGTGCACAACTTGAGTAGGTACCGGGGCTAGAGGCGAAGTTGGCCAAAGCTAGGAGGGCTGAACCAAATTATTACCGGGGAATTTAAAGTGCCGTGCAGTGCGTGGTGTAACAAATTTTTTGCCATAGTTTTGAGAGAAGGAAGGGGCAAGAGAGAGAGAGGAAAAGAGGGCGGAGAGAGTGTTGGGGTACCCACGTACCCCCTGCCTGTCTCATGTATCCCCAGGGGTACGCGTACCACAGGTTGAGAAACTATGATCTAGTATTTACAGTGCTCTAGCACTAAAGGCCGAGTGCCATCAACAACTATGGATATGAAGGGGCCCAATCCTTCAACTGATTTTGTTCAGAAGGTTCCTGAAAGGAAAGATTTGCAGGACCTGACCCAATGGAAGTTGAAGGAACTCAATGGCTCAATGACTTGCAAGAAGTGTTTGAAGCTTTATAGAATTAGACCTTCCAAGAGATGGGAGAGGAGAGTGGGGGCCCTTTCTAGAGAGAAAATATGAGTTTCATCCTTCAACTTCACCTGAGTCCTCCTCCTCCTCCACCAGGTGTATTGGAACTGGTAGAAGTTTTACATTTTAAATTTAAATTTTAAAACAATTTTGTGTGACAGCTTGTAGCGCTATTTTTCATCCAGTGTGATCTCCATCCACGGGCATCAGTTGATCTAGAGATCACATTGAGAGCCAAGCTGAACTGTAAGAATGGGAGTACTGATTTGAACTTGTGGCCATCAAGAGAAAAATCACACTTTTGGTTTAGGAAAGAGAATGTTACTGTGATGTGTCCCAGTTCCAGTATTGCCCAAAAGAGGGCAGAGTTAAAGGGGATGGGATTGAGTTGAATCAGAAGCAGCACTTCAACTGTGCATTACATAGCTATTGGAAATTTGTAAACTGTATTGCTTATAGCATTAACATCTTGGAGATACTCAGGAGGGTTTCCACTGAACATCAGTTCTTGGTATGCTACCATCTGAGTGTGCACTCCTGAATTTCTAGGTCCAGGGAGGGCAGAAAGCATGGGTGTTCAATGACGGTTAGGAAATAAATCATTTCAATGCATTTTATTTCAATGGCTTCTATTTGACAGCAAAGTTCTCTGAGACTTTCCTAATGCTCAGCATAGGTGAAACGCCATAGAAAAGCTTCTAAAATCATTAAGGGTATTCACTAAAGGAAGCACTCCATCAGATGCTTTTGGCAACTCTGACAGTTATGACCATCATGACGCACTGCAACCCATACTTATTGACCATCTACACTAGTGGTTCCCATCCTTTTTAGACTCTGGGCACCCCTGAGTAAATGTCAGCTCTTAGTTTCACTCATTTTTGACTACAGAAAAATAATAGAGCAGTTTTTCTGTTGCCAAGAACTCAGAATCACCACAGCTATGGATTTCTATTTGAAATCTCTGGGTGCCTGTACACGATGCAGGAGGCTGCTCTGACATGCTGCAATTACTCGATTAATCAAGTCTGCTGGCATGTGATAACTACCGTGCTACAGCCACACACTGTGTCTCATGTATCAGTGTTCCCATGCTTCAAAATGGTAGCAGGGGCACTTTATATAAAACTTGACATGCTTTAGGTAATGCGCCCCCACTGCCATTTTGAAGCACAGGGGTGCTGATACACAAGGCACCCCAGGCACTTTAATTAGAGAGACTCCCCCCCGGAACATGTGTAAAAACACCCTCCGGTTTTATCTGGTAAATCATGTGTAAATCTAACAGTGCTAACATTGTGTGGTGCCCCATAGCACCTTTGAAAGGATCTCAAGGCGCCCAAGGATGCCGTGGCACCATGATAGAGAATCACTGATCTACACTGAAAATACCTAAATCCACTGGGTCAAAGGGCACCATTTCTGGGGTGGCTATGAAACCCCTGGAGGGCAATAAATTTCCTTCACCCTGCTCTCACTGGGCAGTCTGACTTTCTTTCATCTGCCATGCCTTGATGTTAATGGTTATTAATATGGGAGGCTGCCCTTGTCTTAATGTAATGATGACTGGGTGACCTCATCGGTTAATTGCATGGCTCCAATCCACCACTATACCATGCTCCATGCTTTGCAGGTGTTATCATTCTCTGTTGTTCTCTTTATGCACACAGCCCCGCCCTGGGCAGCCAGATCCCTCAGTCTCTCTCACAGCGTCTCCCTGGGCTTCTGGCCATTTCTTGTCTCACCTCTTTCCGGCCCTTCTCTGGATCTCTGGACCCTTTTGGTCCCCCACTTTTCTAGCCCCTCTGGGCCTCTGGACCCTTCTGGTCCCATGTGTGGTCTCACTCTTTTCCAGCCCCGCTCTAGGCCTCCAGGCCCTTCTGATCCCACTCTTTTTTTAGGCTCTTGGTCTCTGGGCTGGGCCCACCTCAGACTCAGGGCTGCTGGTCTGATTTTCTCCTTTGGACCCTCTGGCATTCTTTGCAGTGGTCCCTCTTGGACCTTTTGACCCCTCTTGGACCCTGACTCCACACAGGCCAGTTGAGATTCTGAGTCAATCCCGGGCTGCCAGCCCTCACTCACCCATGGGTTCACTTGCTTTGCCAGCAAACAGTCCTTCTGTGGGCTCAGTCTCTCTCAGGCCTTCCTCTGGGCTGCAATCTGCCCCTTACTGGACCCCTACGCTTGTGGTCTCTCCAGCCCTGTTGGTCATTTTCCTTGCTGTGGTCCCTCTACCTGGTCCCCTCTTGGACTGCTAGAAAGCTCCTCCAGAATGTGCTCCCCTAGCCTTTCCCCACTAAAGGGTGACCCACAAGGCAGTGGGAGCTGGAGCTTTTGGGCACCCCACACTTACCCTTCCCTAAGTTTCACTACTAGTGACACTTTCTAGGGGCTACCCCACAACAAACAGCCCCACCACTGTGACCACAAACCACAGTAGGGTGCAATTTTTGGTCCTGCCCATGACCAATCTCTAGACTTTCCTGCCACGTGATCTTTGGCCTTTCTAGGCTATAGGCTTTATCTCCCCTGTTCCTTGGTCCTCTTAGGCTACAGACCTCCATGCCCCCTGGCCTCATCTCACTCACCTCCAGACTCCCCGTAGCCTTGGCTCTCTCACCTCTGGGTTACATGGCCGCAGCTTGCTCAGCCCGTGGTCTCTGGGCTCCAGACTTCTCACTCTCTCTCACATTCTTGGCCTCTCTTTAGGCCCCAGACCCCTCATCAGGTCCACTGCTCTCAGCTCTGCCCCCCCAGATCCTTCCTTGGGTCCCCAGGAATCTCCTCCATCTCTTAGTTCCTATTCAAACCTCCAGACAGCTTCAGATGTTCTCCCCATACTGGTCTTCAGGAGCTTCAGCTATCCTGCAGAGTTAGTGTTCACTCAACAACCTCCAGGATCTTACTGCTGGTTCATCTCATCCTTCACACTTGTATCCTGCCTAGGCCCAGCCCTCCTCTAGGTTCAGATGACCCCATCAATCAGCCTTAGCCCCACCTGCAGGCTCCCCAGGTCAGATGACTCCATAACCAGTCCTGTTCCCATCTGCCCACTGATCCACATGCTGTTTCCCTTCTTAAAGTTGTAGGCACCCTAAATGTCCTGCCACACACTGAACTTCAGAGTGCAAGACTAAGCCTCACCCTGACTCACTCCTCCTTTCAGCATGTTTACAACTCACCTGGAGGCTGCAGGCTGCAAGCACAGTAAGTTTGCCTGCAGCAATCCTAAACTTTCATGTTCCTGATTCCTCTCACTTCTACACTCTCTTCCTCACTCAACTGCCCACACTTAGAGACAAGACTCAGAGGAGAAATTAGCAGTCTGCAAACTGATTCCAAGAAGTGGTGCATTCAAGGAACAAGAGGTACAATGTGGACAGCTGGACCGAGATAAAATATGGACAGGGAAGGGCAGCTTATGCAAATTGGACTGGTTAAGGGTGATCTTCAAGCTGGACACTAAATGTTAGCACAGACACATCTTGTGAAAAATATCAACAAGAGCTGTCAATGACACCACAAATGTCCTCTTTTCCTCCCAACATCTTCCTTATCATTTTTTCATACCAATTCCCATTCATGGTGTATTTTAGTTTATATAGTTTAGCTTATAAACTGGCTTTTTGGACTGTATGAACATCCCTGACCCATAATTGTACCAGGATATGCTGTGGGAGCATTAAAGTAGCCATGATAAATTAAAAATAAAAGGAGAACCTGCAATTGCTTGTGGCAATAATAGATTCTTAGCTTCTCTTGGGCCAGCTACAAGAGGCAACATCCTGCAGTCACTTATGCATGTAGGAAGCTTGATCAGTTTTACACTGGTGTTACTCTACTGTCTTCAGCATTTTTTATTCTTGAATTATGCTAATATATTACAGGCAGAGACAGAACTTGTCCCCTGTATCTGTGGTTCATGGAAGTTCAAATCCCATTGTCAAATGCCGATTTTTAATTAGAAGCAAGGATTTTTGTGGATGATATCTTTTATTGAACCAACTACATAGTTGGGAGAGCTATAGACAAGCTTTCAGGTACATTTTAATTAAGGTATTTAATTGTTTCTGAGCTAAGAGTGAGCCTACTTTTATGGAAAATATGGGAATTGATATAGGAAGTCTAATTCTAAATTCAGTTGTGAAATGTGTATCAGAGTATCTCAGCTATATTGCTACTTTATCTTTTTAAGAACACATATGAACCATATCTCAGATTAGAATCTGGCCAGTAATATATGCTCCCTGGAAAGTTCAGAAGACAGTAATTCAATTGCAGATTTCTTCGGTTCATAAAAGTTTCAATGCTCTGCCAATCTGTAAAATATCTATGTATCATGTAAATCAGGAAATGGCATTTCTGCCTGGAGAAAATAGCTATATCAGACTGCCGCATCATATTGCCTATTTGATTGAGGGGAATTTGTATTGGAGCAATGTTCAGAGTATTCTGAAAATGTAAACACAGTGATCATTCCATAAAAATTATATGTGCACTCTAAAATAAGACATGGTCCCTGATTGTATGCTATGCTGTAAGGCATTTACAGAGGTCATCATGATGATATATGAATTGTAGTATGGCCAAGACTAAATGGCAAGCTATTCCATTAGAGCTGTTTTTATTATGTAACAAAAAATTGCTTCCCACTCAGAAAATGCTTCTAAATCTAATTATTTTGTATAATACACCTCTTCTCTGCCCCCTCCAGGC